CATTAAACATGATCTTTGTTTTGTCCATGTTCATCTTAAGACCTATCCGTTGGGAGGCACTATTGAGGTCATTGAGCATAGTGCTTAAGTCCTCCAGCGATTCTGCCATAAGGACTATATCGTCGGCAAATCGAAGGTGAGTGATGTACTCGCCATTGATGTTAATACCGTATCCTTTCCAGTCCAGTAGCTTGAAAACGTCTTCCAAAGCAGCGGTGAAGAGTTTCGGGGATATAACGTCACCCTGTCTTACACCTCTCTGCAGTTGGATAGGTTTCGAGCTCTGGTTCTGTACTCGGATAGCCATCGTAGCCCTACTGTACAAACACTTCAGCACTTCGATATACCGACAGTCAACTTGGCACCGCTGAAGGGACTGCAGCACCGCCCAAATTTCGACGGAATCAAAGGCTTTCTCATAATCCACATACGCCAGGCAAAGTGGCAAATTGTACTCTTCAGTCTTCTGTACAATCTGCCGCAGGGTATGTATGTGGTCTATGGTACTGAAGCCTTTTCGGAAACCGGCTTGTTCGGGAGGCTGGAAGTCGTCGAGTCTGCGTGCGAGACGATTCGTAATGACTCTCGAAAACAGCACGTAAACGCGGCTCAGAAGGGAAATCGGTCTGTAGTTCTTCAAGAGAGCGTTGTCGCCTTTCTTAAAGAACAAGACCACCGCACTTCTGCTCCACGCCTCTGGAGTAGTGCCACCATGGAGGACGGAATTGAAGAGCTTCTGAAGGACTTCAAGTACCGGTGTTCCACCCGCTTTCAGAAGCTTCGCTGTAATTCCATCCTCGCCTGGGGCCCTGCCGTTTTTAAGGTGCTGGAGAGCCATTCTAATCTCGCTTAGACTGACGTCCAGGATATCATCGGAATAGTGGCGGATAAGACTTGCTCTTGGATCGTTACTCACACTTGCGTGTGGCTCCAACGATGATGTGTACAGCTGCCCATGGAACCTCTCAATCTCACTCAAAATCTCAGGTGTCCCGGAAACGATGCTGCCACACTCAGTCTTCAGCCTTGACAGTTGGCTCTTACGGGCAGACAGATCTCTGGCAAAGACTTTGGAGCCCTGGTTCCGCTCGATCGCTTCTTTAATACGAGCAGTATTAAAGTTGCGTAAGTCTCGCCGCATGCATTTGGAGATCTGTCTGTTCAGTTGCCTGTATGCTGTCAAATCTGTTGACGATTGCAGCCTCATCTCCCGTCTAACAGCCATGAGATTAAGAATGTGATCGGTTTTTGTGTTCTTCTGCGGCGGGTCTTGCAGAACTTAGCTCCGACCGCATGGACAGTTTCCACGAGCTTGTTATTCATATCGTCCACTGCATTGCAATCTTGTAGGCACTGAAAGCGGTTGTGTAACTCGAGCTGAAAGTTTTCGGGATTTTGGATTAGAGCACGAGGGGGGACGGAGCGTTGACTTCATTAGACGAGACCTCTCCAACATAACGTTTAGGTTCAGTGTGCCTCTAACCATTCGGTGATCGCTGTTAGATTTCACCCTTACAATCACTGAGACATCACTGAACAGTTGGCGTCTGGTCGTCATAATGAAGTCAATCTCGTTTTTTGTCGAACCGTCGGGGCTCGACCAGGTCCACTTCCTGTGGGGCCGCTTCTGGAAGAAAGAGTTCATCATAAAGAGTCCCTCTTTCTCCATAAAGTCGGCCAGCCGCTGGCCCCTTCGGTTCCGTTGCCCTACTCCAAATTTCCCTAACTTCAGCTCACCGCTTTCTCTTGTGCCTAGTTTTGCGTTGAAGTCTCCCATCAACACCGTATAGTGGGTTTTGGAGGAATGCATGGCTTTGGAAATATCCTCATACATTTCCTCCACCTCCTCATCGGAATTTGCCGAGGTTGGTGCGTAAACCTGTATGACCTTCAGCGAATACCGTTTGGTGATTCTGAGTATCAGGTACGCGACCCTCGTCGACACACTCCCAATCTTTACAACTATGTTGACGAGAGACTTGTAGACGATAAATCCGACACCTCCTTGGGACAGATGGTCGCCCTCCCGGTGATAGAACAAGTTGCCGGATTCGAGAATCACCGTGTCCTCCCCCTCTCTTCGGACCTCAGATAATCCTATAATACTCCAGCGCAACTTGTCTATCTCTTCTTCCAGCTCCAGGATCTTTTCGTCAGTCCTCAATGTGCGTGCGTTAAATGTTGCCAGGTCGAGTCGTCGTAGGTGGCAACCGAACCTCCACCAGAGATTCTTAGCACCCCCTGCCCCGCCGTTACCACGGTCGCCACCGTAGCCAGGAATAGCGGGGCCGCCGGGGACTGGGGGCCGTCTATTTGTGTAATTGTTCATGGGGGGTATATTGCCATAGTTGCCACGCTTGGCGAGCGGGTTGGCAACCGCAGTTTTTTTTTGTCGTACAGTTGCTGTTATCAGGAAGATGCTGCTGCCCATCTCCTGCCTGTCTCCCTCTGTCGCCTTTTACGACACCCACGGGAAGATATGGGGTAGTGGATATTCTTAACCGCCACTACACGGTACAATATACTAATGTGTATGTCTATATTATTATTTATGTCGTGTAGTGGCAGCGTGAGTTATAAGCCGGTAGCGCTGGGTAGGTAACACCCTCTAACCTATTTCTCTACTTCACTATTTCTTACCTGTTTCTCTGTTTCGCTTTTAAGGGTAAAGAGATCCAGTATAATTACAGACATTGTGAGGCGTTACATTTTGGTCTTCAAAGGTTTTTTATGGGATAAGGATAACAAACGAGGCCACAGTCCACATGGAAGTGGTTGCTGTGGCCCATAGACATCTAAATCTATCCTCGATTACAAATCAAAACGCAAATGCGATGTCAGCCGTGAGGAATAAGATGGAATTCCTCTTTTCCAGTAAAAATGGTCTTCGGTTCTCAACAATCACCATACACAGGAGCATTAAATTGCTATTTTAAGCTGGTGAGAGTGTGGTACTTTCCCGGTTGCGTCGACCCGTTCGTGCTACAACTATACATTTTGTTACGGGATACAGCCATGCTGCAGTTATATTAGTAGTATAGTTGTTGCACGAATGAATCGGTTCGACCGGGGCAGGACCACGCTCTCGCAGAATACCAGCGTAAAATAGCAGCGTAAAGCTGCTGTGTTTCGTATGGTGAGTGTAGAGAGCCGTAGATCCTTTTTAGTGGAAACGAGGCATTCCATCTTCGTCCTCACGGGTGACAACGCATCTGCATTTTGATTCGTAACCGCGGCTAGATGTAGATGTCTACGGGCCACAGCAACCACTTACCATTAGATGGAGTGTGTGCTCGTTCGTCACCCTATCCTATATAGCTATAGCAGCTGTATTAATTGGTTACGATGCATCTGTAGTCTTCTTTATTTGAAGTTGGCTACAGGTGTCCATGTGCAATAACCACGTACCATCGAGTGGAGTAGCAGTTCTTATGTCACTTCAGGTTTATTGAAAAGGTCACTGCCATATAAAATACTGTGGGTATAGTAAGAGACGAGCAAGGGAAATGGGAGACATGATACAGATGAGCAGCTGCATCTACCTGAGAACAACTCGAAATCGTATAAACTGCAGTTACCAATCCGTCTGCCAAACGTAGCAATCATGCCAATTTTGAGCCGTGGTAGCTCAGATGGTTAGCGCTCGCTGTCAAGTCACGTTACGCGAGTAATCCGGGTTTGACCCCCGCCGACACCGATGAAATTGTTAATTTACCACGTGCTCGGCGGTGAAAAAAAACGTCGTGAGGAAACCTGCATGTCAGAGAAATAAAAAAAATCTAAATCATGTGAAGTTCATAAAAACGCATTAGGACAGCGCAGCGGACACCTCCTACCCCTCAAACTCTCTCAAAAATGAGAGGAGGCCTGTGCCCAGCAGTGGGATGTATATAGGCTGTAATTTTTATGGAAGAGATCTACGTTCAGCAGTGGGCTTTGGATAGGTTAAGCTTACAGGACGTTGGGCTAATAAGCTATTATTTTCCTTGGTTAAAAATTGTGATGCAATGGCAATGTTTATATTTACACGAACGATTTTCAGCTATTTAGACCCTTACCAATAACTCAAATAACATTAGACGCACATGCAATGCTGACTTGATAACCTAAAATTCCAAATTTTATGGGTAAATTTAAAACATTGTAAATATATATCTAACAAACTTATTGAGCTTGGCACCCGTTCAGATATTTCTTTCTCTCTCATCTTAACTCTTAAGCGTACGTTACGAGCTCACGCAGGCGTCAATCACTGCATTACACGGTAGGTTATTCGTCAATCACAACCGTGATTGTTGTAAAACTGACAGCCTGCATGAGCGTGTAATGTACGCCTTATATCGGTTAAAACCGACAACCCCGAACCAACTAATATTCATTCTGTGCCCGGACGTCGATTGTATCGAATTTTGTTGCCAATTTTTTTTGTGTTTTTTCAATAAATTTGTGTTTTGTCAAGAAGAATGAATCCCATTGTTCTTGACAAACCTGTAAAGAGTCCATCTTCTAATCAATATAGTTATTTCCTATAAAAAGGAGAATTGCCCAAATTGATATTCTTGACAGGTTGATTAACAAAAGCTTCAGATAGCCACCAAGTTTTAACACTGTACCCCATCTCTGGTCAGAAGTTTATCATCGTTATCAGTAAAATCTTTTTTTATTTACACAAGGTAGCTCTATGCAAGATCGCAGCTCCAGTTAAAGTTATTTATTTTCGGAAATTAAATAATCTCCTGTTGAGGTCAACGTCTTTTTTCCTCTGCTTACCATTATCTATGTCTTACTAAATAATAATAATATTTCCAAAAATTCAAAGCACCCAGTATATTTAAAAGGTTCCAGACAATATCAAAAACATTTATGGAATCACCCTGTCAGTATGTCTGTTAGAGACGTTTTTCGCATCGAATATTCCCCGATTTAATTTTCCCGAATTCGATTGAAAGTTTAAAACTCAACAAATTTTTAAAGAATCTAGGCAAAAGTATTAATTACAGATAAATATGATGACGCTACGACTACTACGCAATCGAACGATATTTTATTTTTTAGAACACAGGAAAACACCTTGGTAGTGCCATTGGAGTCACCTTTGGCTCTCATAGAAGACATGTCGTGTATCAACAAAGACCGCGTAACTGTATTTTTCGTGCATGGCTACAATCAAACAGTAACTAGTCCTGAAGCAATAGCCATTCTGTCGGCTTACATCTATAAGGGCGACGTGAACATACTTCTCTTGGATTGGGCAGAAGAAGCCCGCTACGGATTATTGGGTAAAGTATTGGGTTACCCAAGAGCAATAAATAATTCGGAAAAGGTAGGTCACGTAATCTGCACGAGATCAATATTATTTGTATTAATAAATTTAAAAAAATTGTGTTGGAATTTTTATGTGGCATATATTGCTATCTGGTGATGGCATAATCATCATCATCACCATCATCTCGTGAAAATCCACTGCTAGAGTCAAGCCTATCACCTTGTAGCAAAGATTTTCTTAGTCTTCACGGACTGACAAACGTAGTGACAGTCGTCTCACATTTTTGGCGCTGCTACCGATCTGAGTAATTGACGTCTGGCGTAAACGAGATGGTATAACAACATCTATCAGACGCCATAATATTATTTTTAATGCCGCATGATATCGAGGGGTTTTCTATGACAAAAAAGTTGACTACGGCACCCACGGGACGCATTGAGGTTATTAATTCTCCTCGGCATTGGCGACGAAGAGGAATATTTTTTCTTTTCATCACATATCCCGTGAGTGACTTCAAAGTCGAGTCTAGAAAGATCTCATAGATTCGAATAATTTACAGCGTCTCAAATATAAGAATACTGTTACCGCAACCGCCAATCCGTCTGACGAGAATGACTTTTGATAACGTCCCAAACATGATGTAATTTAACAACGGACGCTTCATAACAATTTCTGCATATTTCAAGAAAATTTAAATTAAATGATGCTCCATTTGTCAATGTAAACTTTCGGATCCGATATTACATTATTTATTAATTTATTGCTATTATCTTAAACAAAAGGGTTACAGAGGCTTTTGGCATTCTCTCCCAGTGAACCGCAGGTGTAGATGAAATATTTTATGTATTTTTAAAACTGAGTAATTTCTGCCTTCGTCAATAAGTAGTTGTTAACAAGTAGGCTTAAACTATAAGTATCGTCTCTTCTTTGGAATTGCATTTTTAATCTTTTAAAATTGAATCGTCTCTCGATTTTTTGTTATATCCAGGCAGGTTTATTATGAATTTAATTGTTTCCTTAGATCGGCGAACAGTTTTCCGCTGCATTATTAGCATTAGCTGCTGCTGGCTTAAATTTAAACAAAGTTCACTTAGTGGGACATTCACTTGGCGGCCAATTAATTGGTATTACCGGTAATCAAGTTCGGACAAAAGGAGGACATATAGGGAGGTAAGTTCCTTCATCAAATCTAGTTCTGGTTTTGTATTCGATTCGGTTTTCGATTTTTACTGCTGCCCTAGTCTTGACACAATCGAGTTGTGAATCCGTCGAGTTCTTGACGCCGTAGCCAACGACTACAGAGCCCGAATAGACGCCTCATGAAGGGCGACCACTTTCTGTCAACACATCAGACAAATACGTCTTATGTAAGAAAACGATCGCGCGATCTACTTTAGTAGCGACCACTTTCCTGACCCGTGAACATCTTGCATGTGACTCGTGAATTTTCGACAAAATGAAATACGATATACGATATACGATTTACATTTCATAAACAACACCATAGACAATTTGTCCAGTGAACTAAAGACAATTTTAACGACATTTGATTTTAATAATTGCATCGAAACTTTAAACAAACGAGAAACATCAAAATACAATGAATGCAAAAATAAACAAATAGAAAAATACCAAAAATTAACGATCAAATCAAATGCCAAACATCCAAGTCAACGCCAGAACAATAAACAACCGTTGACCATAGACACAAACTATAAACAACTCACTGTCTATAATTTGTCAAAACATACACTGGACGAACCGACAATGAAAGTATTAGCGAAGGGAATGAACTTCGCATTAACTCCGCGAAAAATCCCGTACGAAGAAATTATCTGCAGTGTTGAGGATTGTCTGTTTAAGAATAATATCGGTAAGGAAGATTTGGAGGCCATACGTCAAGATATTTCGTCCTTGTTACGTCGTAGTTCAGTGCCGAATCCAAACCTTCCCAAAGACGAATTTACAGCGCTAAATAACTTACGGAACAGACCAGAACTCACGATTCTCCGCGCGGATAAAGGAAATGCTACGGTAGAATTGGACGCGTCGGAATATAATCTTAAAATACAACAACTTTTATCGGACGAAAGTACATATAAAAAGGTCAAAACAGACCCCACAACTAACACGCTTAAAACAACTAGCGATTTAATAAAGAAATACTCCGAAAAATTAAACCTCGACGTGAATTCGCTAATACCATCATGTGCCAAACCACCGAGGTTGTATGGGTTACCGAAGATACACAAACCAAACGCTCCACTACGTCCCATAGTGAGCCAGATCGATTCACCAACCTATAAGCTGGCACAATACTTAGCAAAAATACTATCACCACTAAGAGGACATACCAGAGCACACACAAAGGATTCATACCATTTTGTGAGTGAGATAAAAGACCTACATCTCGCTAACAATGAAACTATGGTCAGTTTTGATGTTCAGTCACTATTTACATGCCTACCTATTGTGGACTGCATCTCAATTGTAACTAAGAAGCTAGAAGAAAATAACATGCCTCAAGAATATGCAATACTACTTGAACATTGCCTCACATTTGGCTATCTATTGTGGAAGGAGGAGTTCTACAAGCAAGTAGATGGTGTGGCGATGGGCTCACCTGTGTCTCCCATAGTCGCCGACATATTCATGGAGGACTTTGAGGAGAAAGCCCTTCTTACTGCTCCTGTAAATCCAAGGTTCTACAAGCGGTACGTAGACGACACTTTCACAATTTTACCACCTGACAAAGTAACTGCATTTTTAGACCACCTTAACTCCATAAACTCTAAAATACAATTCACAATGGAGTTAGAGGCAAATAATTCTTTAGCTTTCCTAGATGTTTTAGTCATCCGAAATCCTGATAACACTATTGGTCACACTGTGTATAGGAAAAAGACCCATACCAACCGATATTTAAATGGTGAATCTCACCATCATCCTTCACAGTTAGCTACCGTGGGTAAATCTTTGTTTCAGAGAGCACGAGGGATCTGTGACAGAAAACATCTGGCCGCGGAGCTTCAGCACGTCAAGCAAGTATTGCAAGACAACAAGCTTCGGGTCCCGCGCCTACGCCACAGTGAACGAGTGAAGCCGGCCACAGTCGAGCGCGCGCCTGCTCTACTACCATATGTTAGAGGAGTCACAGACAAGATTGGCTACATCTTGAAGCGAGCGTCCATTAAGACATACTACAAGCCGCTGAAGAAGATTAGTCAATTTTTACCATCCATCAAATGTAATATTCCTCTACAAGATGCAGGTGTGTACAAGCTAGATTGTGAATGTGGTCTCTCTTACATAGGTCAAACAAAGAGATCTATAAAAACCCGCGTGAAGGAACATATAGCTGATGTGAAGCACCGACGCTCCGGGAAGTCTGCAGTCTGCGAACATGTTCAAGATCGTCCCCACCATTACATTAGATTTGATAAACCACAAATTCTCTCAAAAGAACACCGATTCCTACCAAGGATGATACGCGAGGCTATTGAAATTAATAAACATCCAAATTTCAATAGAGAAGATGGTTGGGTGCTACCATCTGCTTGGGATCCTATAATTAACAAAATTAAACCCAAACCCAAGCATACCACTGCAAGACTTCATGATACTATAAGCTCGTTTTGCGTAAATCGGACCAAAAATTATTATTAAAAAACTGAAGGTAGCCGGACTAACTATGACATTGGGACGTCAAACATCTCAGTCCCCCCCCGTGACCATGGGCGCTGTAAAGCACCCGAAACGTCGGGATAATAATAAAAATAAATTCAAGTAATTAAACGCGATAAAATCCGTAAATAATAGTTTTATTCAAAATAAAATACAACAGACGCGCAACATGGTTCCCTGTACAATAACATAGTGCGGAAATAGTAGCCAAATCTGTAATTTTAAAAAATGGCATCACTTTTCATAGATAAGTGAATATTAATTTCCAAATTCATTAATTAAAATTAATTAAAATTAAATCAGAGCTCAACCTATATTTGTCACAAGCAACTCGCGTTAATTTATTCGGACATCTTCGGATATTTTCGGACTATGCATGCCTTTCTTTTCAATGAAGTTCATTGTTGCTGTACTTTTTTTTTAATTACCGGCACGTGTAACTAGTGCTGTACCAGATAAACTATAATATTGGTACAAGTAAATATTATACATGTTATCGTGAATGTTTTAAAGACTTATACTATAAGCGACATAGGTGTAAGCTGAATTTTTTTAGTGAATGTACGTTAATCCATATTTGAATTAATTGATTTAATAATTAAATCAAATTATTCTAAACTTTTTAAAAAAAATCATACTAAAATTGATATAATTTTTAATAGACGGCACTCCGCTCTCTTTACTGCTAAGACGCCATGTCAAGACAAGTAGGAAACGGAAGTGAACTGTTTTATTTTTAATAGTATTCTATTATTATTTCAATATTTTAAGGAAAGCTTGTTTTTATAAAAAATATTCTTTAACACAAAAAATTATAGGTATTTTACTAAATACGATACCTACTTAAATAAAACTTCTTTTGTTTTTTTTTAGTTTTGTACTAATTTATAGTAGAATATAATTCTGGTACTGATTAAGTAAACTTGGTACCACATTTATTAGTTAAAGTTCTTTTTTTTGGTTTTAATTGGTTTTTTTTTTTTTTTTTTTTTGTTTGGTTTTTTTTTTTTTTTTTTTTTTTTTTTTTTTTTTTTTTTTTTCCATCACTATTTGCTTATTACCAAGTGTTGCAACCTTGATTTTAACCAATTAGCGTGCATTTCAACCCACCTCCCCCATACCACTTACCTCAGACTTTTGACAGACAGGTTTGGATGCAGAAATACATACATTTTACAATTAGGCGTCTATTCAGGCTGTGTAGACGTTGGCCGTAGCTGAGCACAATCCAACGGTGGTTCAAATTGGAATTACTAATTTGAAGTGTTTAGCTATCTGCCGCTAGATAGCGCTCTTAATCGCAGGCGAAAAGAATGCTTTTTCTTGTTAAGTTTGTTATATTTAATTAATTAAAGTATTTAAGAAGTGAATCTTTAATTTAATAAAAATGATAAACATATGAATAAAATTGGATTTGCCTCGGTGACAACGCTCGTTCGTTTCTGTCTGGTTTGGGATTAAACTTTTAATCAAGGAATCGAATTCGAAATCAGTTTCGAGAGTAAGCCCTTGTTATCTAGTACCACAACTACGTCTAAGCTCCCAAACAAGATTTTCGATCAAGCATTATCAGTTACGTTAGACACTGGCGGGTTCATTTATCCTGTATTTTTTAAATAAAATCCAAAAGATTTCCCGTCTCTTGCTAATATAAGCGCCATCTAGCTGTAAAAAGCTGAAGACCTTTAGTAATTTCAATTTGGATCACTATAAATGGTTGAGCGTTAGCTACCCTTTTGCGATTCGATTAAAGTTCGATTGATCCGAACTTGATTTTGTTGGGAGCAAGCGTACTGTGCATTTTTTATTGTATAGAGTACCTTTAATAGTATAGGTTTATGGAAACAAACCATAACTTAAAAATTAACAATCTTTTTCTCCCCATAGAATAACAGGGTTGGATGCTGCAAAGGTAGTAAATTTTGATCGATTGAACAATAACAGCGCTATATTTGTCGACATAATACATACCGACCCCGGGAAGTACGGCATCGCTAATTCCAGAGGCACTGTCGATTTTTGGCCTTAACTACACGGGCGGCGTCGGTGTCCAACCTGGTTGTCCCATTGGAATTTTTCCTTTGCTTAGTACCGCAAGTAAGTGCTTTACATCCCAGCATCTACTTTATTTATATCTTTATCTTTTCATAAGCCCTTTAAAGTTCCCTGTTGGGACTTGTTCCTTTCCTGTTGTGAGGGAGACTTGTCTTAATCGTTACGCTTGACAAATTAATTGACAAACACAATACCAAACGTCATACGCCCGCTAAAGTTCACTGTTGGGACCTGTTCCTCTCCTGTTGTGAGGGAGACTTGTCTTAATCGTTACGCTTGACAAATTAATTGACAAACACAATACCAAATGTCTTGTACTTTCCACGCTGCTGTACGTCTTCGGTCTGGGTAATTTCTTCAGCATCATCATTGTCACAACCCATCAAAGTCCACTGCTGAATATTGGCCTCCGCGATAGATCATAGCGGGAATATTTGCCATAGTTTTCACGCTTGATACACGAGTTGGCAAACCGCAGTTTATTTTAAGTTATAAGGCTACATTAGCTGCTGCCAATCCCCTGGTTTTTTCCCCCACTGTAGTCTCTTACGACACCTACGACAACTCTCGGCTTTACCTATTGCTTTAAATATGTTTCAAAATGTTTATGCAAGTTTCTGGAATTCCTTGACGGTATAAAGATTTCCATATGCTTTCGTGTGATAAAAAGTCAAAAGCTTTCATGTATCTATTGATTGCTAGGTAAAGTAGTGTTTGCTAAGTTCTTCGTGTTTTTCTATTATTTGCTCTCAAGGTGCGTGCGTCCGTGCGCGTGTGTGTATATGTGTGTGATATTGTTCTTTTCGAAATCCCTCTTGTACTATTGTTTAAGTTATATTCTAATTCCAACTCTATCATCTTGTCCTCGCACGTCGCCAACAACTCATATTTGTTTTGGACTTGGATTGGTCGAAAGTTATTGACGTCAATTGGATTTCTCTTCTAGTACAAATGTGTCACTCTCGATCCCGCCCACTTAATTTTGTTCCAGGTAAATGCAGCCACGACCGCTCTTGGATGTTTTTCCGAGAGTCGATATTCAATAAATTCGCATTCCCGGCCGCCAGCGAACCCGATTATGAAACCTGGATACGAACGAACGGAACAACCGGTAGAGTCGCGTACATGGGGGAATACGTGTCGCTCGAGTTAGTCCAATTTTAATCATCATTATTGAGTAATATTATTGAGAGCAGATTTTCCCCTTTTTTTATTTTATATAAGGCACCCATTAGGCGGCTGAACTAAGCAAATGGTGAAATTATGAATCTCTAAAAGATTATTACATATTTGTGCCACTTGCTCCAGAGATTATTGATCCTTGGGATCCACGTTTTTGTGTACAATATGGATGACAAACGAGCACACAGTCCATCTGATGATAAGTGGATGCTGTGGCCCTTGGATAACTACATTTATCCTCGATTAAGAATCAAAATGCTGAGAATGCTTCGTTTCTAATAAAACGGGTCTTTGCCGGTTTAGAAACTCTCCGGTCCTCAAAATTACCATCGGTACGCATTAAGCCGCTGTTTAACGCTGTGGTATCCTGTAAAAGCGTGGTCCTTCCCAGGCCGAGCCGACCTATTCATGCTACAACCATACTATAGCTGCAGCGTGGTTCTACCTCGTGCGGTAAAGTACCTAAAGGAGATGTATCCGTGACTTGGCGACGCCGCTGGTCATAAAAGGCTGGTTCTTATTTTGCTCAAAGCTAAGTAAAGCCATTCAGCGAGAATTGAACGATAATTTGACTTTTTAGTTTTAGTTTAGTGTACATATATGTATTACCAACGAGAAATTAGCAGCTTAATGCTGCTGAGTTTCGAGTGGTCAATAACGAGAGTCGGAGACCCATTTTCCTGGTAACGAGGCATTTCATCTTAGTCCATCTGCATTCAGATTCTTGGTTACGGCATGTTTCTGAATCATGGCATAGATGTAGGCGCCTATGACCCACAGCATCCACTTATGGATAAACCTAATGACCCGGTCATTCCCTTGGTTTAGAAAAAAGGCAAACGTATAATATGCGTAAATTATATATAAAACATTTACTTTATTTTACTTTTAGGGCCAGAGGAAATTTTTACCTCGTCACCAGCGAGCAAAGTCCATTCGGCAAAGGAGATGAAGGCATAAGATCTAATAAAATTGCTAGAAGTAAACGTGAAGACACCACGTAGAATTCTGCTCCACACTGCAACCCATTGTATTTACTTGTTTACTCGTGAAATTAAAATACTTATGTGTGTTATACTTATTTATTGTGGGCTTTCTTCAATTGAATTAGTAAAGGCATAACAGCCTATAGGTTAAACGCTCGCTGTAAAGAGCACACTACGCGAGCGACATGAAGTATAAGTCGCGGCACGTAACTCTAGCGCTGAACGAAACGTGGAGGGGATAGCTGCGAATGTCGTATCAGTACGGGGGACGGAATACGACTGGAGACCCAATCAACGCGTGCGAACGATACGCACAGCCAATCGTACGCAATAATGAGCAATAACGGTCACCGCTAGATTTTCGTGCCGCGAGTTGTACCAAGTGAAGGAAAACATCATGAGGAACCCTGCAAGTCTGAGAAATAAAGATTTATTTTTGGTGGCTAGTGAAGTCATAGTTTTGTTGGTGTGGAGTATAACAATCCACTGCTCGATGACATCTCGAGGGTGTCAAAATAGGGCGACGGAGTAAAATATTACAGGAGATGGTCAGTAGCACCTTCCTGATAACTACTTAAAATGAAAAAATTTGTAGTTACAAACCAGCCTGCAGAGCGTGGCATTTACAGCAAATATCTTCCCCACGTAGCAATCTTTAAAGTGAGCCTATGTTAAGCAGTGTACTTTTGATAGGCCGTAATCATAATGATAATGATTGACGATGATGAACATTGTAAAAACGATTTACGAGATTTTACGATATATTTTTACGAGACCACAGTACCAAATACTACGAGTATCAGAGACTACGGAGTACACGGCCCACTTTGATGGTAAGTGGATGCTGAATCCCATAGACATCTATATCTATTCTCAATTAAGAATCAAAGTGCATATGCGTTATTGTACCCAGAGAACTCTCGTAACCAGTGAAAAGGATTACCGGTTTTTTACACAAAAAGTACAGCGACATCCGGCATTATTCTGTATCATGTTCATATTATGTGAGAGCGCAGTCCTACCCCGATCGAGAAGACCTATTGTGCCGCAGATATATTATAGTTACCGCGTGGTGTTACCACGTAAAAAAATGACCTGACATACGCGTGATGGCATAAACACAGTTCTTTTTGTGAATGCATGATGAAAACAGCAGTACTTACAAAAATGTTGTTTAGTTAATAGAATCATGTGTACTTTGCGGAAATACATTATATTAAAGTTTTTCTAATGTTTGACAACCCAAGACTTTGGAGCTATTTTTTTTATAGGATAGGTAACAAACGAGCACACAGTCTACCTGATGGTAAGTGGTTTCTGTGACCCATAGACATCTACATCTATCTTCGAATACTAATCAAAACAGATGCGTTGTCACCCGTGAGGACTAAGATGGAATGCCTCGTTTCCGATAAAAAGGATCTCCGGTTCTCTACAGTCAACATACGAAACAAAGCAGCGTTAAGCTGCTGTTTTACGCTTGTATTCTGTGAGAGCGTGGTCCTACCCCGGTCGAGCCGACCCATTCGTGCTACAACTATACTACTGACGTGGCTGCAGCGTGGCTCTACCACATATAGAATCCACCTAATACGTGGAATACAGCCACACCAGATATTAGTATGTCAAAATTCACACCGATACGACTCTAATAAAAACGTAACATTTCCATTGGTTCCGTCATGTTATGCACATCATGCTTCATGAGTGAATAGAGATAATGATACAATAATGTCATCAATATTCAAAAGGCATTGTAAGCCTTAACTGGAATACGTGCGTGGCAAAGACCTCGCACGCTTAAAAGTCAAGATATCAGCTAGCTATTTACTTCAAAAAAAAAATGAAGACCAGTTTACAATTTACGATTAATGTTGGAAAGTAATAAATTAGATCTTAGGTTTACTTTTGAGTTAAGCTAAAGTAATCTATTCGTTATATAAGAACCTTGGCATCTTTCCCAACTGGTGATTGGTGACATCTAGTTTTACAAAAACTGAAATTACACACTTTTTGGTTAAGCCACTGAATAAATAATAGTATAGTTATACTTAGGTGTATACGATTATTAAAAACTAAAACTGGGTGTCACCGGTTGCCAGTAGGTTAAGTTGCGGCTGACAAAAAAGGTTACAGATTCGTTGTCACCCTTTGAGTATTTAACCAACTTCTCAATATTTTGATGAATACTAGTTATCGATTATATTAAATTATAATATATTCAGAATCGTGTTGAGATTGAGAAATATTTAAATCATTTGAAAAAATCCAATACACATCTTAATGTAATTATTATTCATCACAAACTGATTTATTTAATAGGAAATAAATTTCCTTTAATATATTTATTCTGTGTGTAAATTATATTTGTTTAAAACTAGCTTATTTTTCACTTCCTGAACTATGAAGGCAACACTTGTTATTTGAAGAAAATATTCAGAAAATACTAGTTTTAACGATATCTTTATGATAAAAATATTCACGGATGAAAAGTCACGTTGTTCTTTTGTAGATTTGAGGGTTTTCATTGTTTTTTGCATGAAAAAATGAGGGCCACTCATGGTTAAAAAAAACTATCCTATCTCTCAAGTTGAGCTAAACTGCACACGGTGTGCAAATTTGATTAAAATCGGTTTAGTAGTTTAGGAGTCCATCGCGGACAAACAACGTGACACTTAATTTATATATATATATATATATATATATATATATATATATATATATATAGAAATATATATATATAATATTAATCTATATAAACATATATATGTATATAAAAATATAATATACATAATAGTACCTTCATATATCATATAGTAAATAGTATTTATATTACGCTGGTGTTCCGTAAGAGCGTGGTCCTTCTCCGGGCGAGCTACAACCATAACATAACTGCAGCATGGCTCTACCACGTTCTGTAAAGTACCTAAAGGAATTGTATCCGTCACTTGTGGAAGCCGCTGGTGATAAAAGGATGGTTCTTATCTTGCTCAAAGCTAAGTATAGCCATCAGCGAGAATTGTACGATAATTTAGGTTTTTAGTTTTAGTTTTCTGTAAATATTACCAGGTGATGACTGCCTCGTTGGTCTAGTGGTTGTAGTAGGGAAATTGCTGATCATGTGGTCCCAGGTTCGAATCCCGGGTTGGACAAAAACATATAAGTTATTGAGTTTTTTTTATTTAGGTATCAGAAAGCTGGCGGTGTCTCACTCCGTGCCTCGGAAAGCACGTAAAGCCGTTGGTCCTGTGCCTGATCTTTTTCCAGTCGTGTCGGTTTACCGTCCCGTCGGACTATGAGAGTGAGGGAGTAGAGAGTGCACCTGTGCTTGTGAATACACTTGGGCACTATAATCCTGCCCTACACAGATGGCTAGTCTCCGTTGAGGCTGGTGGCCGTGACCGTAATTCGGTTTGGAAGACATTATTATCGGGTATAGCATCATATATAGCATACAGCAGCATATTACTGCTTGGTTTTGAGTGGTGAATACAGAGACCCGTTTTTTTTTTGTAACGTGGCATTCCATCTTAGTCAGGGGATGGCAACCTTGAGTATTAAACCAAAGGAGGCGGCATCGCAAGGCATACCACTCTGTCAAAGGTGTGAGGGTATACTTGTTGCTCCGCGTCGTGTGCTATTGCGCAAGGGAACGTGCTAGTCAATTGAGTACCCACGAAAATGCCGGATTGCAGTGTATTTTCATGCAAAAAACAAACAAAACCCTCAAATCTACAAAAGAACAACGTGACTTTTCATCTGTGAATATTTTTATCATAAAGATATCGTTAAAACTAGTATTTTCTGAATATTTTCTTCAAATAACAAGTGTTGCCTTCACAGTTCAGGAAGTGAAAAATAAGCTAGTTTTAAACAAATATAATTTACACACAGAATAAATATATTAAAGGAAATTTATTTCCTATTAACTAAATCAGTTTGTGATGAATAATAATTACATTAAGATGTGTATTGGATTTTTTCAAATGATTTAAATATTTCTCAATCTCAACACGATTCTGAATATATTATAATTTAATATAATCGATAACTAGTATTCATCAAAATATTGAGAAGTTGGTTAAATACTCAAAGGGTTACAACGAATCTGTAACCTTTTTTTGTCAGCCGCAACTTAACCTACTGGCAACCGGTGACACCCAGTTTTAGTTTTTAATAATCGTGTACACCTAAGTATAACTATACTATTATTTATTCAGTGGTTTAACCAAAAAGTGCGTAATTTCAGTTTTTGTAAAACTAGATGTCACCGATCACCAGTTGGGAAAGATGCCAAGGTTCTTATATAACGAATAGATTACTTTAGCTTAAGCTCAAAAGTAAACCTAAGTTTAGTCGGCTAACGGCGCCTCTACACGTTAGCCAACACAGTGGCGAATGTAGTGCCCAATCGCATTGGCCAACGTGTAGACGGGGTGTTTGGGCTTCATTGGTATGTATTGGGACGATGGCCCACAAGTTGGCGCGAGATCCGTGTGGTGTCGGTTTTTTACAAAAGATCAAAGGATTGTTGGCAGAGTTTGGTCGCCGCGTCCACACGTTGGCCGCGCGTTTAGTTTGCTACAAGCTCCCAGAATGATTAAACACATCTGATTTAAATTTTATATTCAAGCTTTGTAGGATGGATGCCCCAATTACCAGTCTTTTAGTGCCAATTTCAACTTTAAACATTCCTACTACTTTAATTAGCGTGATTTAATTATTTTTAAACATTTGTTTTAATCGATTAACTATTTATCAAAAAAATAACGAACATTTATTTACAATCAGATTATTACGAGAACAATTTTAAAATTAAAAAAAAGAAGCACGTCGTTTATACGTGGTAGAACTATGCGGTTATATTAGAAGTATAGTTGTAGCACGAATGGGTCGGCTCAACCGGGGAAGGACCACGCTCTCACAGAATATCAGCGTAAAATAGTAGCTAAATGATGCTGTGTTTCGTATAGTGAGTGTAGAGAACCAGAGACCCTTTTTAAAGGAAACGAGGCATT